GAATTGTTATAAGTATGTTTAAAGAACTAAAGGAAACCATGCTTATAAGGAATTAAGGAAAAGTATAAGAACAATGACTCATCAAATAGAAAATATCAATAAAAAGATTCAAGAACCAAATGGGAATTGTGAAGTTGAAAAATACAATAAGTGCAATGAATAAATCATAAGAAGGGATAAACAGAAGATTGAAGCTGGCAGAAGGAAGAAGCTGCAAACTTCAAAGCCAGCTCAGCAGAGATTACCCAAACTGATTTGCAAGAAAAAAAGAAAAATAAACAGAGCCTTCAAGACCTGCAGTACACCACCAAGAGTGACAATATACAAGCAGTAGGAGTCCTAGAAAGAAAGAACCAGAACAGAAAAGGTTTTTGAGTAAACAATGACTGAAAACTCCTCAAATTTGGTGAGATGCATTAATACACACATTTAAAGAGTTCAACAAGTTTCAAGTAGGAAACAAAGTGATTCACACCTAGACACACCTTGAGTCCACCTCGTAAAAGCCAAAATGAAACCACCGGGAGCAAAAGAACTTAGGTACAGGTCATCTTTCAGATTCAAAGCGGATTTTCATCAGAAACGAGGAGCCCTGGTGGGGTAGTAGTTATGAGTTAGGCTGAAACCCACAAGGTTAGCAGTTCTAAACCGCCAGGCACTCCTTGGGAGAAAAACAGGACTCTCTCTTCCCCTTAACAGTTGGTCTTAGAAATTCACAGGGGCAGTTCTACCCTCTCCCATAGGGTTACTATGAGTCCGCATAGAGGCAGAGAGTTTTAAAAACATTTTTTATCTGAAATGACACACATGATAGGAAAATGGGATTGCATTTTCAAAGGGATGAAAGAGGAGTAACTGTCCACCATTCATTCTATATCCAGCAACAATACCCTTTTAAAAGCAAAGGTAAAATAAAGACACTGCAAGATAAAAATGGAAAGAATTTGTTGTTAGCAGGCTCGTCTTGCAAGAACTATTAAAGGAAGTTCTTCAAATGGAAAGAAAATGACACTAGAAAGTAGCTTGAATATAGTGAAGAAATAGAATACTGGGTAAACATAAAAGAGTATAAATATGTATCTTCCTTTCTTAAGTAATTAAAAAGACTAATGTATAAAATAACTGTAAAATTGTATTGCTGGGATTATAACATATAAGAAATATATTAGAACGAAGGAAAAAGGAGACCTATTTTACTAACATGGTATTAGTTTTCAAGTACAGCTTTTCAAGTTAAATAACATTGTGCTCCCCAGAGCAGCAACTAAATAAATAACAAAAAGTAGTAAAAGAGCAACAAAGGAAATGATACACTAGCAAATATCTCTTTAAAACAACATAGTAAAAGAAGAGCCACAAAACATACAAAACAAATTGCAAAATGCAAGATAGAAGTCCACTCATCTGACTCACTCTCAAAAACCTCAAACTCACTGTCACTCTGTCAATTCCTACCCACAGCAAACCCATGAGCTCAGAGAAGCCATGCCCCTGTGGGTTTCTGAGACTGAAAATCTTTATGGGACTAGAAAGCCTCCTCTTTCTCTTAGGGTAGCTGGTGGTTTTGAAATGCTACGTTTGCAGTCAGTGGTCCAGTTACTTTAGCAGGGCTCCTAACTTGATAGACAGGTATAAAAAACATTAGCAAGGACAAGTTCAATCTGAAAATGAAAATAAGCAATCATGCTTGACAAAATAGAGGGTCAATGAAAAAGAGGAAGATTCTCAACCACATGTATTAACCCAGTAGCTGAAACAATGGCTTCAAATGTAACAATGATTGTAAGAATGGCATAGGTCCAGGCAGTAGATTGCTAGAGTTGGAACCGACAGAATGACACCCAACCACCACCACCACCGAGCTAAAAAAAGCAGGGGTGTCACTTTTGTGCCTAAGGTGTTCCTGACCCAAGCCTTGGGCTTTTCAATTGCCTCCTGTCTGCGTGAAAGCTGGACAATGGAACACGAGGAGAATGGATGCGTCTGAAGTGCCGTCTTGTGCCCTGGGCTACCAGAACCACAGACACGTCAGTCTCCAAACACACACACTGAAGTTCTTCTTAGAAGGATGGCGAGATCTTTGTCTCCGTTACTCTCTCTCTCATAATCAGGGAAGATCAATTCTAGAAAGGGGGAATCATGCTTGGTGATGTCGAGGGTCACTGAAAATGAAGGAAATCCTTAAAGGGATGCATTGGCACAATGGCCAGGGCGATGAGCTTCAGCATCAAGCAGCATGGAGACTGCACAGGAGGATCAGGCCATAGTTCATTGAGTTATACAGTCTCCAGGAAGCTCAGCTGACTCAACAGCAACTAGTAACAACAGTAATCAAGACAGTGTTGCCATGGAGATCAGTGAAACAGAATTGAAGGTCCAGAAATATATAACTTACAGTAACTAAAATTTGGACAAAGGTGCTGAGGCAAGTTGATGGAGTAAGGATCATCTTTCCCACAACTATAACAAGAAAAAGCAAAGTGACCCCCACCAGCAAGTTGATTCAGATGCATAGCAACCCAGTCAAAGGTTTATGAAACTGTACATCTTCACGGGAGCAGACAGCTCTTGATTTATACGCTTGGGAGAACCATATATTCACAGGCGAAAAACAAGTGGAAACCATCATCTCCCACCATAACCAAAAATTATTCAAAATGGATCACAGGTCTAGTTGAAGGTGCTAAGATGATGGAATTTTTAGGTGTAACAGGAGACAATCTTCCTGACTGTGGGTTAGACGAAGAGTTCTTAGCCCTCAAAACTATGACCCATAGACAAAAATAAGGTGAAACAGAACGTCTTCAGTATTTTAAAACTCGAGATAAAAAGGCACCACTTACCAAAAACAATGCTTAGAAAGGTCAGAAAAGAAGAAAGAAGAGAGTCAAACACAACAGGAGGAAGTGGAGCACCACTGTAGGGATAGCAATCAGTGATATTTGAATTGTTAAATGGACACCCAGCCTGCTCTTTAAACCTTATTGTTATAGTATTCACAATGAAAAGCATACGAATTTTTTTAAATGCTTGGATATCTGAAACACCATTAAGAGGAAAAAGCACAAATTAGGAGAAAATATTTATAAATCATAATTCTTATTTTTAAAAATACAAAATTTATATTCCCAAATAACAACTCTCAGAAGATAAAAACTCAATTAAAAAATTGACAAAAGACTTGATTAGGTATTTTACCAAAGAAGATATGTGAATAATATATGTACACAAAAAGATGCTATTACACTATAAGTCATTTTACAAGTGTTAACTCTACAACTGCAATGAGGTGCCACATCATTGGCGTGTCAGACTATACATTGAACTGCCAACTCCTAGGTCAGCAGTTCAAAACCACCAGTTATTCCGTAAGACAAAGCGGAGGCTGTCAGCTCCTGTAAAGATTTACAGTCTCATTCCATTCTCTAGGGCCACTATGAATCACAATAGATTCAACGGCAGTGAGTTTTTGAGTTAGGATGGCCATAATGAAAAAAACTCAGACAATAACAAATGGAGATGTGGATGCGGAGAAATCAGAACTATCATGTATTTTTAAGGGGAATGTGAAATGATGCATCCATCATTTGGCAGTTTTTCAGGATTTTAAAATGTTCAACAGATTTACATATAAACCAGCAATTTCACTCCTACGTTATATGCCCAAGAGAAATGAAAACATACGTCCACAGCTTTTCACATTAATATTCATAGCAGCATTACTCACAATAGCCCCAATGGAAACAATCCAAACGTTCATCAACTGATGAACGGGTAAACAAAATGGGGTGTGGGCATGCCTACACACAAACAGTGCTATTTCCTGATTTGAGCTATTGTACTTATTTTGCGTACGGAGTCTTTTTTTAACAGTGGTTTTGAGTTCCATTGCCCTAAGGGCACTGAACATCTTTTCAAGGGCTTATTGGTCATTTCTATGCAGACATCACTATCTGCAAGGGGACTGGTTCTAGGACACTACCGACCCTCCTCAGAGCACACATCCATATCCTCAGATGCTCCAGAGCCTTATATAAAATGGTGTAATCTTTGTGGATAACCTATGCATGTCCTCCCATATACTTTGAATCATCATCTCTAGGTTCCTTATAATTTCACATGCATTGTAAAAGTTATGTCAATAGACATGCAAATTCCATTTTATCTTTTGAGGATTTGCTTTAATCCTTTGATTGCTTTTTAGGAACCATTTTTAGTGCAAAATACTTTTCATCCATGGTTGGTTAAATCTGTGAATGCAGAATCTGTGGTATTTTTTCCTTGGGAAATGTCTACTAGGACCTCTTGCCCATTTTCTATTGTTGAATTTTAAGACTTGAAATGGATAGATTCTTTTCAAAGTTCCTTATTAGCGACAATTTAAAAACATTTTCTTATGTGAATTGTCTTTTTTTCCTTTGGTGGCGTCTTTTGTAGTAAAAAGTTGGTAATTCTGATAAAGTTCAATTTATTAATATTGTCTTTGGTTGCTTTACAGTTCTGTGTCTAATGCACAGTCCCAAAAAGGTGACTACAGTCTTATTCTAACACAGACGAACTTTAGCTCCTCTATTTAGATCTGATATCCTCTTCCAATTAAGTTTTGGGTCTCTATATATATAAAATAGGGGCCAATGACAAGCCAGGTAGATGTCAGGGATGGGTGGAAGGATTGGAGGGCAGGTGAGTGAAACTCTCCAGCTCTAGGGGGCAGGTTCTGTTGCTACTCCAGGCTACATAAAAAGACCCATCCATGTCTTTCTGTCTGTTTACACCAAGTCTGTAAGTCTTAGCAGTTTTCTTTAGAGAGAGGTGGTAAGTTCTGGATACCAGCAGGAAATCAGTCTGCTCAGAGTTCACAGACAACCAGTGACACAACCAGGAGCGGATGAAGGATCCTTGGTTTTCTGCCGTCAGTTCCATTTGGTGGCAAGAATATCTCTGTTATGCCCTTTCCAATTCTCTGATCAAGTAGGTCTTTGAGCCCAACCAGGTAGGGAGTATATGTCTCAGTCTCCCAGATACCAGGCACAGACATGTGACAAAATTTTAACCAGTGGAATGGACTGCGAAAGAAGGAGATTCCCTGTCCTTCCTGGCTCACCACCTTAAAGAAAGAAACCGTCCTTCACTTCCTCTTCTTAAAGTTCACACCTCAGACATGGTGCGAGTACTTTTGACAATGAGAATGAAGAAAACACAGAGGCTGTCACTTTCAATGATAACTGAGTGTAAAGACCACCTGGGAAGCTTTATTAAAATAGTAGCAACTGGATATTACCTTTAAAGATTGGCATGGAACTGCTTTGAGATATAGTCTGGGCACTACATGCTGTTCAAAGGGCCTGAGGTTTTTCCAACATATGGCTTAAGTGAAGGCTTTACTTCCAGGGCCCCAAAGTCATTGCCGAGGAGCCTACTGTGACCCAGTGACTCTACAGAACAAAGTAGAATTGCCCCCTAGGCCTCTCTAGGATGTAAATCGTTATGGCAGCAGATTGCCACACCAACTTCCGCAGAGCTGCTGCTGAGATATAACCATTGACACACGAGGGCTCCTGATTCTTGGGCAGTGGTTCTCCAACATGATCATGCATCGGAATCACCCAAATAGCTTATTAAAATGAGCCATTTTGTGGTACAAATGGTTACATGCTTAAGTACTAGCCCAAAGTTTTGCCAGTCAAATACACCCAGCAGCTCCTTGGAAGACAGGCCTCAAAGTCAACTCCTGGATAGTCACACCCTTGAAATGTTCTACTCCGCGAGGTTGACATGAGTTGCAAACAACTGGAGAGCACCGAGCAACGCTGAAGCTATCGGATTCCGCAGGCCTGGGCTGGAACCTGACCACTGGCAGTTTCACAAGTTCCCTGTCAGGTGAGGTTGGTGTTCCCCGCAATGCATTTAAGAATCATGGTAGTGGGATGAAGAAGTGACAAAGACAGAAGCAATGTGAGCATCATCACCTGTCTACACAATTACTTAGAAATGGATGTTTATACAATTACTTAGAAATGAATGTTTATACAATTACTTAGAAATGAATGTTTATACAATTACTTAGAAATGAATGTTTA